TTTTTAATAAATACTCGCCAACCTCTAGCTTTAATTTACAATGATCAATCGGTGCTGGAAAATCACCACGTGGCGTTTGCGTTCCAGCTGACGTTGCAGGCTCCTGAAAATGCAAATATATTTGCAAAATTAAAACGAGAAGAGTTTGTCACTTTACGACAAGCGATTGTTGAGATGGTACTAGCGACAGACATGAGCAAGCATTTTGAATATCTGGCAAAATTTCAGCAAGCAGTTATCAATCGCCCAGTAGATGCCCCAGTACGTCGTTATTTAGCTGTACAACTAACCTATCTCTGTGGCATTTATCATGAATTTTAGCAGAAGTTGAAGTCCGACATTTTTTTACCAGTAATTTATTCTGCTGCTATTGCCAATATCGTTGACTGCTTAGGAAACCGATGAAGAACGGAACGCTGTGTCTCTAACTGTATGCAGAATGTTAATAAAGTGTGCTGATATTGGGAACCCAACTCGAGAATGGTCGCTGTGCCAGAAATGGGCAATGAGGATCGTTGAAGAGTATTTTGAACAGGTGAGAATAGTTACTGATGAGTTGGTAGAAAATTTATTTAAATGAATATTACTGCTTTTACTTTGTGGTATGGAAATCGTATTTTTAGACCAGAGAAGAACGAGAAAAGGGTTTACCGTTGACAATGGAGTTATTCGACAGAGAAACTTGCAATGTACCGCTTACTCAGTGCGGTTTTATCGATATGTTTGCTCGAGAAACGTTTTTAAATTGGAGTGAGTTTGCAGAGTTGCCTGAACTACTTACTCATCTTGAAACAAACTATGAAAATTGGCGACAGAAAACATCGTCGTGGAAGCCGAGCGATAATGTTATTTTGTCTTGTGATAGTTGAATCTTTACAACATAACTCTTTGCTATCTGACGCAAATTTTTTGCGTTGTCTCGGGCGAATTATGTGGGAGACGAATTTGGTACTAGCGTATTCGTAACAACCCTTTTCTTGAACGACTGAAATGGGCTACGATTGTGTGGAAACTTGAAGCTTTAACAGAATTTTTGTACTCTAGAACGAATGTGAGGGCACCGTTGTTTGTAGGTTGTCGATTTGCATAGGAATAATCATGTGTTATGTGAGATCCGATCCAGAACTTTTAAATGAGTAATGTGTGAAGTGAATTTTTTACAAAAAAAATATGCTTGTCTGGTTATTTAAATTATGTCTTTTTGCTGTTTTTTTAAGGTAGTAAATTCCTCTTTTGACACTAAGCTGTAATTTCGGTAAACTGAGGTATACATTTTCAAAACGGTTTACATGAGATTTTTAAGTCGTATATGAGGGTGCTTTTGGAAGCCAAAGGTTCTCGTTTTAGTTCTGCACCAGCAGGAAAGAGGAGAAAAAACTGATCAACCACTGTTTGAAACTGCTATTTGGTGTCAGAAAAAAATGTAGTTATTGTTCTTTCGTCTTGTATTTCATTGTGAGAAGTTGGTCTTTAATGTTGGTTGTTTTTTAACGTTATCTTGCATAGAAAATATCGGTAGTTTAGCATTCCTCAGTGATCAATGACAGCTATAAATGCTGTTATCTTTTGGTTACATGTTGCTGTAAGTCTGTAAGTGTTTTTGACTTGCTTTGGCTGATGTGTTTCCGCGTGAAACAGAAGAATGTGTAAGTGTTATGACTGGAAGCAAAAAGGAAAAGAAAAATTAAAGGTTTTTTGTTGTTAAGAGAGTAATGGTCTCATAAGACAATTTTTCTGTTACTATATTTTCGTTAGCTGCATTTTTTCTCCTATTTTTCTTTCTCCGGTTTTTGTTTTAGCCTTTCATCGAATTGTCACACAGTTCCCTCCATTCTCGAAATGTTCAGTTTGCTCAACCTGTTTTATGAAGCTTTAGAAGGTCGTTTTTGTCAAGCGGTCTATGTTTGTGTATCTTCTTGTTCGTCGTCTTCGTCTTCTTCTTCTTCTCTATTTCTAATTTTATCTATTTTTTAATCGTTTGTTCGTTTGTATTAGCGAGCGAGTGATCGCTGAAGCTGTTACAGCTAATGGATTAAAAGGCACTGAAAGCAAAGTGATGCTGCACCACATTTGGATCTCAAGTAGTTCATCGAATTCTGTTTTTGGTCTGGAAGAAAATTATGTTTGGCAATTAATGAACCTGTAACCACTAACTTTTTATTCTTTTACACTTCAAAACGTTTAAATAAACATCCGAACAGTTCAAAGTTGTTAGCTTTCGGAACGCAGGAGAAAGCTCCGTCTAAAGAACACCAGTAACTGATGGATATTTGATTGCTTTTGGTTGCCGTCTATGTATTCATATATCGGTGTTTAAGCTCATCCACTGTTGTTTGCTGCGTAATTTCTCCAAATATATTCTTAATGATTGTTTTTCAACTTACCATTGTTGATTTTTTCCTTGCGAAATTATTTGTATTCATAAAGTCATGTTTTTTAACCTTTTTTTTTCACCCCTACTGTAATTGTCATTGCATTTTTTTTATTTTAGCTGCAAAGTTTTACTTGCCATTTCATGTAGCTGAGGATCCAATTAGATTTCTATCATAAATTTATCTTACACTTTTTGTTGATGTGTTGGCGGCATGCCCAGCAGAGCATTTATTATGAAACATTCTGGGAACACAGAGAAGAGTAGGTTCCCACAACTGATTTTCTTTAGACGACGTATCAAAACACATCCAGCTTGGTTTCAATAATCTTACTATTACATCACTGCCGAGCCGTTCTCTACTTACGTTTTTAGTGCTTGTTGCAATACTTGAAATGCTTTCGAAGTACCGCTTTATACACTGAACTTTCACATTTGATAAGTAAAAGTACCTGCCGAATCTTGACAGAACCGCTGATGCTGCAGAATCTGAAAAAATATGTCTGAGGATCGGGGTGAATTAGTTGGGCTGGTCAGATTTTGGATTTAAACCTGATTTTTACAATGGCTTGCTAATTTTTTTGGCAGTCGTCCTGCCCGGTTTATCGCAACCACCGCCTTAAAAAAGTTCATGGCTGTTGAAGTACTGACCGACCACGACTATAGTTCAACTGGTTTTTATTCCTTGAGGTCGGAGCAAAATAAAGCACGGAAGTCTAATAGATTGTAGTAACTAACTCGCCAAGTATTCTAGAAAACTACTACAAACGTTCAGGCGGAAACTACTGTTTGATAAGATGACAAGCCACATTTAAGGGTGCAAAAAAAAAAAA